AAACAACATAATCGAGATCTAGATTCCAATTTGGTGTGCTCATGAGGTTGAAGAAGAACAAAACAGGTACAACCAAATACCTTAAGAGTCTTATAGTCAAGAGGGTGACCATAAAGATGCTCAAATGGTGATTGATTCCCAGTGATGGAAGAAGGCACGCGGTTCTTGGTATAAACAGCTGTAAGAGCAGCTTCACCCCAAAAGTGCTCAGGACATGAAGCAGATATGAGAAGAGCACTGATGGTATTGAGAATGTCTCGATATTTGTGTTCAGAACACCCATTTTGTTGAGAAGTGCCTGAACATGAACGATGAGGAAGGGTGCCATGTTGGTGAAGAAAGTTAAGGATTTTGTAGTCTGTGTATTCAGCAGCATTGTTGGCACGAAACACTTTGATATTGCAAGAAAATTGAGTTTTGACCATGATAGCAAAATCAAAGTACATCTGAGGTAATTCAGGTCGATTACGCATAAGAAATATCCAAGTGTAACGAGAGTAATTATCAACAAAAATGACAAAATATCTAGAGCCTTCCATAGTGGGAGTGGGAGACGGGCCCCAAACATCAGAGTGAATTAAATCAAATGGTGCAGAAGAAAATGAATCACTTTTGTAAAATGGCAATGCCGATTGTTTTGCAAGTTGACCAGGAAGACAATCAAATTGTTCTTTAATAACAAGTCCTAATGACCACTAGATGCTAAAGATTGAATACGACCAACAGAAGCGTGACCCAGATGAGAATGCCAGAGACTGATGGATGGGGTAGATGAGACTGGAGTTGCTGTTTGAACTGATGAGGAAAAAGGGATGGAAGGTGAAGATTGATGAGCTCAAAGAGTTGTCCAACCTTACTGCTTATACCAAAAGTTTGTCCCGTCTTTGGATCCTGAACACAACAACTAGAAGCAGAAAAGATGACAGTTAGACCAAAGTCACATAATTGACCAACGGATTTAAGATTGAAAGTGAGTTGGGGAATACAGTAAATAGCAGGAAGAGAAGTGTTTAATGTCGATATTTTTCCGATATGATTCACAGTCATAGAAGAACCATCAGCAGTTTGAATAGTCGGAGCATGATTAGCAAGATGTTTAGTGGCAAATATAATAGAATCAGGTGTCATGTGATTACAGCATCTATAGAGGTTGTTTTGCGATGGGCAAGACAAGTTTCCTCCAAAAGAAGTTCAGTAACAGCTTGATCTAAAGTAGGTAAGGGATTGCGGTGAAGGAGAGATCCAAGAACATGCTCAAACTCATTAGTAAGGGACATGAGAAAGAGAACCAGGTGTTGCTGATCTCGATAGTCGGAAAATTTCTTAGCATTTTTGGCATCTGTAAACTCTGGTTCTGAGAAAAAAAGTTGATCCCAAACATAGTGCATCTCAGATAAGAAACTATTGATAGATTGTCCAGGTTGTTGTTGCATACGATGTAGAGTACCCAGAAGTTGGTATTGATGAGACAGATCTGTGGTAGTGTAGCGTTTCTGTAGAAAATCCCATAATGACTTGGCAGTCTTGAATCTACCAAACTGGAGACTGATGGAGTGTACACACGTGTTGCGAATCCAAGTGATAATTTGGTAGTTCTTGCTATCCTACTTTTCGAGACGGTCTATGTATTTTGTGTTGTCTTCTCACGACTTTCTCTGGTTCAGTGATATCACCGTGACATAGCGTCATAGTTTTTTGCCCTGAAGAAAGCTTGACATAGCATGAGCCCATTTGGTGTAGTTAAGTCCTTCCATGATAATGGCAATGAGTTGTGAAGCCTCAAGATGTTCCATAATGTGAACGAAACTAGAGGATGACAAAGAAAATAATAATAATAGGAACCGAATTGACTGATGGGGTGATGGCTGAGATGACGTCGATGGAGAATATGACTCCGACTATAGTAACGACCCAACAAGTATGACGAGGATATACAAGAAGTTTTTCTGATGTGAAGGATCCACTAATAGTGGCAATCACAGAGCATACTCAACTCTTAATATATCGAAAACCACTAAGAATAGTGGCTCTGATACCAAGTTGAATTTAAGATAGAAAATAAGAGAAAAAATAAGACAATACAAAGATAATATAATTGTATTGAATAGTGTGATTTGTTTACAAGAGAGGCATCATATTTATAGTTTAACTTGATAAGAATGTTTTACTTTCTAATCAATGTGGGACTAACTAACATGGACTAACTAACATGTACATTATGTATATATATATATATACATTAACAGATGTATTAGTGGCAGGAAATAATTGGATGTAAAAGTTGATTCTTTTTAAACAATCCAATGACAAAATGTTATGCAGCATTTTGTCAAGAAAAATGTCAAACTTTTCTGACAATGTAGCATGGTTGGAACAATTAACTTGGAAGGGAATGAAGACGTTAATGATGACGACAACCCAACTGTGCAAAGTAAACAACAGCTCTAATGACATAGACAAGTCGTCTACCTATCAATATAGTCGTAAGCGAGCACCGGCACACCAAAACCATGATCCTCGGTCCTCTATAAATAACGCTTTCGTATTTTACTCAGTCAAACATAATGTCCATTTGATTTCTCAACACTTGAAGCTCAACGTTAAATAGTGTTTTCAATTACTGTAATCCCTATGATTTAAAGACATGTACATCATATTAAAAATAAATTAAGTTTCGTATTTAGCCAAGTTGAGTCCAAGTGCAAAACATGCCATTTTAGTACAAGCATACAATGAAATCGAGGATTTTAGTATGATGGAGACTCGATCACGAGTATGCTCTAATTCTTCTAAATAGAAAAAATACTGACTTATGACAAATAATTTACTTTGTTACCACGTTCTTTTTTCATGAATGACTATTAGTCGTTGATTTTGGTTTTGCAAGTATATTCTTATTAAATGAAATCATCTTGTTGAATTTTGGCATATAACGTAGTTTTTGGTCACTCTGTGATTTTATTGTTGCAAGTAGATTTTTCACAATATATGATCTAGTGTTCGTTAAGTTTTGGCATTCAATTGATCTATAGTCCCCAAAAGACGATAATGTTAATTTGGTTATTGGTAAAAAAATGTCATAATTTTATTATACAATGAAAATAATTAATATTTGATAGGAATTGACCTGCCTCTTGAACCACTAGATCACCAATGAAACCACTGTATTATCCGAGTCAATACCGGATCGAATCTCAACTATGCTTCCTGCCATTATTTAATTACCATGTATATGCATGGGTCCCAGTTATTTAATACAAATGTTAATTAAATGTGTCTAGGAGTACTCAAAACTCCGAACACTAAGACCCTATTCTCTTTACCATTTTCGGGTCATTTTCTGTTTTCAATTTTCCAGAACAGTGAAAATGCGTTCTCATTGTCGGTGACCAATCTTCTTCTAGTTTCCATTGCTTTAGAAAAACAAATAATTTCTCCAAACAAGGGGAAAAAAAAGATGGATGTCTCTGTAAAAGGATTTGTATTTATGGCAAAGTCCAATCCCATAGAAGTAACAACGCAGTTGTCAAAAAGACTTGTGTCTTGCAAGAATTCTTATATTTTTACTGTAAGATGTTAATTTTAGACAGGTTTGTGATTTCAATGGTTATATTTTCTTGCAAGATCTGAGTTATTATTCTTTTACTGCCACAAAAGCAGAAGTTTCTGAGGTTCATATCAAGAATGAAGGACCAACAAAAAGGGTTGCTGATACAAAGAAGAAGTCTTTGTCTACTGTTACCGAGATTTCTTGTGCTGGGAAGAAGGGCCACAATGGAGGAAGAGCTACATATGTTCTAAGTGATGATTCTAAAGATTCAATCACCGATGTTGCTGATGATGACTCTGACTTCGATTAAGCATAGTAATTTTTTTTAGTTCATTTTAGAACACAGCAATCTATACTTGGGAGCTACTTAATTTCGTTTATAGCTGGTGAACTTGCATGCTGCCAATGAAAAGGCAACTTTCTCTGTTGTTTCATGAACAAATCAGTTGGGATTGGATTAATGCATTGCAGAGTTGTAATAGCAAATTCAATATTATATTCCTTACCATCGTTGATTCACATTCTTGCTTAGGATGGTAAAACATAAATTTTACATATATCTAATTAGANTTTTTCGACCTTCCGATGTTTGATCCATCACTGCTCATCTTTATTATTAATTCCAATCACCTTGTTCATATGGATTTTCTCTTCAATTCTTTAGCCACCTTTTGTCATGGCCAAGTCCGAGTACCTGAATATTTCATTTTCTGGCCCTTCAATGCTTAAAATCACTTTATTTTCCTTAAATCATCTAATTGAATTGATGATTAGGTTTGGCTGTGACTTAATGCTAGTTAATTCTAGTCACAAGTTACATACAAGGACAAAAATAAAGACTTACCAAATTTAATTTAAGTTGTATTTTTTATATATGGAAAAAATATTTCAAGATTCACCAACTTCAAAATTAAATTTTTATTTAATACTATATTAACATTAAACTATTAAAATTTATTGAATAATCAGATTTTTTGAATAAAATATTATAAAAAATATTCTCAAAATTTCAAAGTAAACGCATTTTCCAATTTTATGTTTTGAGAAACAGTTTTTCAAAATTACAAAAAGAACGCATTTTCAACAATTTCAAAACAGACATTCAAAACACAAAACACAAAATAAATTCAAAACTCAAAACTGAAACACAAAGAGAACAACCCCTAAGAGTTACTAGAAACTTCAATTAAAAAGTAACTCAACTTTAAAATGTGATGCATTTTAATCATGTATATTCAAAATATGTTGCATAATACATGGTAGTTTCATTCAGTAAGAAAATGAACTCAATTTTCACTTTCTTCATATTCACCAAGTCATATAATCAAACATAATTCAAGTTCCACAGTTGACACCACGATCTCAAGATTCAAACATACTTTGTCAATTATACTTCAACACTAGAACGATCTACCTCCTCGACCAATTTGTTCATTCTTCCAAAGCATAATCATCTAAGTCGATGTGTACCTCTACCTCTTTTCAAACTGCGTAATTTCGAACATGATAACCATTGTTTCAAAAAGTGTGATAAATTGAATTTTTCTTGAGGAAAGGCCAAGTCGTCTTCATAGATGAAGTAGTTCCCGTCTCTCTCTTGATCTTCAATGCTAACATATCCATTAGCTCTTGCATCGCAAGCATATGATCTGTAAACAAAATGCTTTTAATTTCATTTCTCATAAGGGGTATAAGAGCGATGGGCTTATACTTCACCCATGCAGAAATAACGAAATGGCATATTAATTGCTAGTAATATTACGACGTGAAGTGAATCTTACAGTGTGCGCTGTTCAGATACAACAAAGTGGTTTTCAGATTGGTGTCGAGCAAGTTTGTGGTCAATCCTCATATGCCGGCTAAAACCAAGCTGTATTATCAAAGAAATGACAATCATATCATGAATTCGAAAAATAAACCTTGGAATAACATCTATGACATTTGCCTTGTGGAAAATATCGGTGCAGACTACACTTAACAAGTTACTAAAGTTCAGCAGAAGATTTTTTCTAATACGACATGAGGTAATAACGATATGTTTGGCCATTGACTTATCCTCAGTTAGCAGCAGGACTCGCTACAGTAGTCTCGTTGCAAAGTTTATTGACATTGATTTTTCACATTTCGTACTACTTGGGAGATTAGTGAGCCTAAATGCAGCCACAGTGTAATCTAATACAAGAAAGAAAAAATGATGGTGATGTTCTGTGTGATTTTTTTCACTACATTCAGCTCTCAAATATGCGTCTTTCTATGTCTAAAGTCCTCTTTCTCGTATAGAAGTGATAAAAAATGGTGGGGGCTCACACTTGAGGCAAAGGTGAAGACATTTATACTGGGACGCAACGTGCCAGAACAACATTTTCATTGTTTATAGAGAGCTTCGAAAATTGGATAGCATGAAAAACGATCATAAAATGCTAAAGCAAAAAAATAATCTGGTCTTCTTAGATCCTACTTCCATCTAGAATTAGATGAATAGTAGAACATGAAACTACCACATCACCATCTTCGATCCCATAACTTTGAAGGCAAGCTTTCTCATTGATTAGCTTTTGACCCTTGTAGCACAAACAGAAGTGGCTCCATATAAGTGACCTATTCATTCAATTGAAATCCCATTAAAAATTTCAAATATAACAATTCATTCTAGGTGTATTTTTGGCATCGTCGTGAATGGAATCGCACAAGCATACATAAGGACAGTAGAGTTCAATTTGTTCTACAATCTTGAAAGGATCGAACGTTGGGTGTACATCAAATTATTTGAGTCAATAACACTAAGAATCACTCATTAACCGAGTCAATACACAAATGAAACGTTTGATAGGTGGAAACAAACATATTGTAACTTCATAGAACTTGTAATATATTCACATTATTATGCATCAAAAAGATTGCTCAACCTAAAATAATATTTCAAAATGCCGCATATTTGTGTCTTTGAATGACCTAAACTCTCCGAAAACATTTAACCTAGTATATCATTTTCTACATGGTTACCGTCTTTCTTGGTTAAAAATATCAATAGCCATGTACTTATAAAGTTGTTTCCAAACTTAGCTTTAAATTTTTATCGAATAGTCACTACACTTACAAAGCGTATCTCATCTATCACTCCATCTACTTCCGTTTGAAAATTAACGAAGTGCCAAATAGAATTGTTAATTTTTCAAACGGCCCGGAGTGGCCATTGGGAAATCACATTAACAAAATCTCTACCCACCAACACACAGCGGATCATTCTATTATTACATAATTAACAAAACAACCAAAATTGGATCAATATTTTTATGGAGAGTCTGAGCCTAAGTTGTTACACACATATACATATTGTCAATCCATCCATCCGTCCACACACAAATAAATAAATAAAAAGCACAAATTCATGTCCACTATCATACCATAAAATGTTGCCTTCATCCTCAGGTAAAACGCCATAAAATTCCTCCACTGCCAATTCTAGACTGCCCACAGTAGCATTCTTTGATACGTGAATGCCTGTAAAATACCATAAAATCGCCATCACGAATAAGCAAAAACACAAAATAATCACTTACAGAGAAAGAAAAGCTTAAAAAAATAACGGGTCAGATTAATTTACTAAAAGAAGAGCCATCCAATTTGAGAATAGAAATCTGACGTAGCTGTCCAGGAAGCTTTTTGTACGATAGACTCCCAGGAGTAAACCCCTTGTGATTGTACAGTGAAAATGGGGCTATTATTCTTGAAAATCGATTTTTGGTCTGAAACTTTTGTATAAGCTTCACCATTAAATCTTACCCTTTTTATCTTTCGTGAAGAATGAACGTCTGAACACACGAAGAGGAGGAGTTTTGGGGGCGAATATGGTATAGAAGTAGTACGTTCTGTTTTTTGAAAAGGGAGTGAGTGTGACCGTTATAATCCATGGAGGATCGGGAATGTTTGCTGGAGAGTAGGGGCAAAGAACTCTGTATTTTCGGGCCAGGGCCGGACCTGAGGAGAGGCCCAAAAGACCTCCGCCTCAGGCCCAGATTTCTAAGGGGCCCTTTTTTTTTTAATAATCTATGCCTTCAAAATGACAAAAACCTCCGGAGTTTGAAAATTGAAAGTCCATACTTAAACTTGAGAAATCAAACAGCAAAAGCTTGAGAAATCAAACGGCAGTGGAGGTTGTCCATCGTCGAAGCTGATGTGTGATCTTCTCAAGGTATTTTTACATTATTACAAATTTATATATATTCTCCATTACGATTTATGTGAAGTAATTTGTTTTGGATTTTGGGAGTTTTATAGAATTTTCAATTCAATTGTCAGTGAAGGGTGAAGCAAGTGACCCAAGCAATTAAGGGATCTGGAAATGATCTAATTGCGATTTTTTGATGCTTTGATTAAATTTTTCCAAGATTTGCATTCTTGTTTTAGACTGCTATCAAAAAAAATTTGCTGCAAAAAGTAAAATAACCGAGGTTTTTCTGGAGTTTAATAAATATTGAGGAGTGATTTGCAGTTGGGTTTTTCTTGCAAGTTATAGTTTTTTCATTTCTTTTTTCATGGTTTATGAGTAAAAAGAAAAGAAAAAGTTGGCACTGGCATTATTGCAATACTTGCTGTTCATCTACTTGCAACCGTGGGAGGATATATGATGCTTTTCCAATAAATGTTAAGCCAATTCCATTTATGCTTTAAAACTCTGTCACGATTGCTATGTTTCCTGGAACAAGTATGAGATTGAGCCTTGGTGTGGCTTTGGATGCTTCACAATGGGTATCTCTATAATCTTCTTCTAAAAGAATAGCTATGCATGTGTACTCAATTTAGGCTTGTCATGTATTTGATTTTAACATTGTTCTTAGTGAAAAAGAGATCTGTTCCTGGGCAGAAAATTTTCAGTAGTTCCCACATTCACAATCGAGATTTTAGGATCTGTTTGGAAGGACTTCTGCTTCTTTAGAAGAAATTTTATCTTGGATTGAGTGTCGATATACACAACTCTTATAAAAAAAATGAATTGTCTGCTATGACTTAGGAGTCCAAATTCTGAAATTCGCCTCAAATCCCACGAAACATAGGTTCAGCACTTTTGGCGAGGATAGGAAAAAATTGAAAGTTTCTCCATCTTTCCCGTTGCTTTATTATGAGTTTCTAATTTTTAGTAGATTTTAATAATAATTGATAAAATGTGTGCTTGAAAAGTTATGGATTTTATAAAATAAATTGTTAAAATTATTTTTTTTACTTAAATTTTAATCAGATTTTATAGCGGTATAAAAATGGACATAATATTTAAAATTGAGACTATGGGTTTAATATATTTAGTGCTCATTTGGAAAAGTTTTTGTTTGCTAAAAAGTTAATTAAATTTTATTTTTAATAGCACGTTTTATTGGATGGACAATTTATATCAACTATTTCATTACATATTTTATGGACCCATCAATTTTTTACTATATCATACAACCTGTTAAGAAATATAGGATTATTTTATTTTATTATTTATTAACGGTAGAATAGTTTTTTCAATTTCCTTTATTTAGCCTATATATAGTCTCTTTGTTTATAGGTTAAATCATTCCTTCGTATTCAATTGTATTATGCATAATTAATGAAACTCCAACCTCCTTTTTCTTTTCTTTATTTTCTTTCGATTATTTAACATAGTATCAAAGCGGTTTCGATCATAAACAAATTAACTTTTAATTTTCGTTTCCGGCGAGCGTCCTTGAGCCACTCGTCCGGCTACCAATGTTGTTTTTCTTTGCATCTCATTCAGCAATTCTGCATCTTCCTTCTGAATTGTTTTATGGCGGGGAATTGATCTTGTGGTACAGGAGAGTACGGGTTTTTCCACATCCCGGGAAAATCTCCTCCCAAAGAAGGAGTTCCCTTTGCTTTTTGTCAGTATTCAAGGTTGTAACGAGAGGGAATGGAGCATTCCATCATGGTTTAACAGAATTGAAGCTAGCGAGGTAGTTGAGATTATTAAGGACCTAATAGAGCATGATAGCCTGAAGGAAGAAGATGTTGGGGTTATAACAAATTTTTCATTATCAGCCATCTGAAGCTCAGTGGGGTAGGGGTTATGATGGAAATAATTATCAGCCATCTGATTTGCCATGGGGTGAGCTAGAAAACGATTTGAATTATATAACCAAATTGGTTAGAAATTATTGTCTCCCCTACCATATAACTTGTTATCAAACAGCCTCTCCAAATATGAAGTTCCAGCCAATAAATATTGAGGGAGAGCAGATCATTTTACGGGGTTTTCAAATTTAAGAGGAAAAGTTGGATTTTATGGTGTTTTTCTGCTGAACTAAACAAGGAGAATGAGAAGATTTTGATCGAGTTTTTTGAATTTTGAATTATTCTGGAGTTTTTGATGTTTGTGCAGATGGATTTGTTTAGCAACCGGAGATAAAAGAGCTATAGATGTTTGAAGTGTGATAAATGAGATTATAAAGAAAGAGCCTTTTATGCATTGAGTTTTGGGTTTAATTACTGTGAGATAGAATTGTTGATTGAGTTTTGGGCCGTTAAGATAATATGTTGGTTGTGTTTATTGGGCTGTTGAAGTAATTGTGCCAATTATTTAATTGGTTTGATTTTATTGTGAATTGTTAGCTTGTGTGGGCTGAAAATTTTGATTTGGACCATGAGTTTTGTTGGCTATTCGGTGTTTTGTTTTTGGGCCGCGAGAGTTGTTGTTGGTGGCTTTTGTTCGGAGTTTGGTCTTTTCTCCTCTTAAACTTGTTTGGAGTATTTCTTTAAGCTTTTGATTATAGTAGGTAATCTGGAATTTGGTTTAGTATATGCCCAGTTCATGAGATTGGAAATTTGGTTTCGTATATGCCCAGTTCAAGGGATTGGGAATTTGGTTTGATATATGCCCGATTTATGGGATTGAGAATTTGGTTTGGTTTATGTCCAATTAATCTGAAATTTGATTTGGTGTTGGTTCGATATATCCGAAATTTGAAATTTACATCCAATTCATTTGGTATTTGTGGAGCTGGAATTTGAAATTTGCATCGGTTTGGTTAGATTGGTGGATGATGATTTTTCACTATCATCAATTTTGAGTTCTTTGTTCGACTTGGTTGACATACGAGCAATTTTGAAGATTTGATTTATGTAGACTGACATTATTTCCCTACATTTTGTCTCTTCATCGTTGCAGCTTGCTAACTTCTTTACGAAGTTACATTCGGTTCATCGTTTTCGTTTCTTGCTTGGCAAACTCTCGATGCTTTTTGCAGCAGTATCATGAGTTTGAGGGGATATGTTAAGAAATATAAGATTATTTTATTTTATTGTTTATTAAGGGTAGAATAGTCTTTTCAATTTCCTTTATTTAGCCTATATATAGTCTCTTTGTTTATAGGTTAAATCATTCATTTGTATTCAATTGCTTTATGCATAATTAATGAAACCCTAACCTCCTTTTTCTTTTCTTTATTTTCTTTGGATTGTTTAACACAACCCATTGTGAGCACAATGGCAAGGATAAAATTCCAAACGATTTAAAGATGAAGGCTAGAATCGTTAAAACTCTTAATGTTAACATCTTCAATTCAACTTAAAGTCAAATGCAATTTCAATGACAAGATCATGTTGCTAAAACTGATCTTTTGCAACATTTACTTCGTGTTGCTAAATATATTCTTTTCTTTAAATTAGATTTAGAAAACCAAAAACCCAAACCCTAAACTAATAATCATTCACGCGTTCCTCTCCCTCTCTATAGTCCAACATTGTTTCTTCCTCAATGCCGACCGTCATTACTAAAGCCCTCATTGCTCCTTTGTCGTCGGCCCATCTCTCTTTTACTCGGGTATGTCTTCTCTTCTATATTATTTTTCCCCATTTTAGGACAAATAAGGAAAAAGTAACTCCATCGTGGGCCCATTTTGCTTTTCCCTACACTGCATCTGACACGACCCCGTCTCGAGTCACCCTGTGGACCCAGAAGTGACGTGCACCGATGATAAGTTCCAGCTAGATGCTGGACCTACCACCAAGGCCACATAGACTGTTCTATGACTACTTAACTGTTTTATGAAGACAATATTTTTGTAAAAATTTTGACAGAGTTTCTCCTGAAAATAGAACAAAACCAACCTGAAAATTTACAAAAGACCCCATACAATAATTAATATCAAATATTTGGGAACCACCAATTCCATCAATACCACCACAACTAAATCAATATGAAACTAAACTTGACTGAATACTTCTACTTCAAAACACCATGTTTGGATGCATGCATGCATTACAACAATTGAACAACCTATCGACGAAGTGAACATTAAAGAAAATATTAGACCAAGTGTTTTGTAAACTTGAGTCCCCAACTAAACATTTAAATGCTACGATATGGTTAAGATCATGCAACCTAATGATGGATAGTCACGCTCTGGACTTCAACAAGCTTTCCAGGTATCTCAAATCCAGCGGCCTCCTGATAGGAAAAACATGACAAAATATATGAGCTTGTAACTCAGTGAGTGGATAGTTCACAATAACATATACTTTTTCCATTTATACATTTTTACTGAAAANNTTTTTCTATTTATACATTTTTATTGAAAATTCTGATTTATTATTCTTACAGTTTTTAAGAAATTCTGATAATTTCTTTTGTAACATAAATATGCTAAAATCATAAAGTTCATACTCTTTATTCTGAATAACCAACTGTAAAAATATGTCAAATATAGACAATCTGGTATCAACATAAATCTGTGTAAAACTGTCATTTCTGTAAGTCAAAATGGTATTTCTGTAACTGAATAAACTGAATTCTATATGCTGAAATGGACTATTATCTGATATTTGAAATCCTATGAATCTACGATTGAATATACATAAATGATATACTAAATAATCACACCAAGAAGTACCCAATGAATAGCCTTACTCATGTACAGGGCAAAGCCATTCAAATATGATAATATGGTCATACGTATGCAGAGCTGCCCCAAAAGCTAATCACCCTAGTATACGGCCCAAAGCCTATGTGTGTATGAGAGTGGGTCCCAAAGACCTCTGATAATCTGGTCATACATTGTAGAAACACATTCACATCAGTGCAGAGCGGGTAATTTCGCTGAATCTGGTCATACACCGTGGAAACACATTCACATTAGTGCAGAGCTGGTAAAATCACTTGGGTACTTTCTGATAGTTTTAAAATAACTTTAAATATGTTGAAATATATAATTTGAATATAACATGCTAGAGAAATAATTTCAATGAACTGGATTTAACTTTAAAAAAAAAACTAACCATAAAATCCATTTGATTCTGAAAATAACGCTGTCAAATCAAATATACGTAATAATTAACTTTTTGATATAGTATAAATTTAATAAATATTTATTTCTGAAAAATAAGGTGGTGTTCTCTTTGCTGTTTTCAACCCATTTTCTGTTTTCGGTTTTTCAAAACGATGAAAACGCGTTCTCTTACTCGTTTTCGAAAACTAGTTTTCCAAAACACAAAAAAAAATTGTGAAGAAAACAGAAATTGACCAAAAAGCCGTTTTCTGTGTTTTCTTCACAAATGCACACTAACTTAGAAAACATGGGAAACGGCCAGGCCCAATTTCCTTCCTGCCAAAACACTTCCTCCTGTCTACTGCCAACCCACGCTCCACCTCCACTTTCCAAGCCCTAAACTCCGGCCAACCTCCTCCAAAACGGCCGGATTATGCTACCATTGTGAAGCTCTCAATCCCCTCTTCCATTACCACACAAACAACAATTCAATCATATTCCAAAATCAATAAAAAAAATTCACAAAAAATTGATTCGAAATGAACTGCTTCTGCGTAAAACTCAACCTCCGGCAACACCCAAGGTCGTGCACCACCACTGGTCGATTGCCGACCCCCAGACGACTCCATCCATAGCTCCAATTTACCTAAAACAACATGAAATTATTCTGAATTTTTCCCTACACCAATCGCGAAGACCGCGCTACATGGTTGGCAAATGGTAGATTCAAACGCCGCCCGGTGGAAACTCGTGTGTGTATTGTTGGGGTATTTGAGAGAAGAGAGATGACGGAGGAAGGGAAGAAGAGAGACGATAGAGAGAGATGACGGAGAGTGTGGGAAGAAGAAAGAGAGACGCCAGAGATGAATTTGGATTTGGGAGAACACGTTTTGATTTCCTCATTTTTTAAAACAGTTTCTCAAAATACCAAAAAGAACTCATTTTCAATAATTACAAAATGGACACTGAAAACACAAAATACAAAATGAATTCAAAACTCAAAATACAAAACTGAAACACAAAGAGAACGGTCCCTAAAATTTTTCACTCCCTAATATTTAATATTGCAAAATAGAAAATCAAAAATTGATTTGTAAGGTGATACTAATGAGCTCAATACAATCATATATTTCATCAGCTAAAAAAATTGGTTAAAATTTAAGTCAAAATTTAAAAAAAATTAAACCACACAACCCACAACTTTTCAACCATATATTTCATTAGCTTTTATTAAATCTCCTAAAAATCTGATTATACTCTCTGCCAACCAGAGGCTAACTCAAAACATCCGAACATAAAATATGTACAAGGAAATGACGAGACTGTTCACATGCTTATTTCATGTTCATCAATGGCTAAAAACTAATCTATTGCAAATTTTAGACCATCCAATAAAGCAACACATTCTCCCGAATGCAGTGTTATCATTCAAAAAACAATTACATACCATTTCTCATTCCTACATATGGCATCAACAGCCGAATTAACCCAACTGCCTGGACGTTTTGTAAGTGAAACGGTCTGCCTTTCAGGTAAACCTCCAGTGCTGATCCTTCTAGTCGCTGGAGCCGATCCAGAATAGTGCAAGGCACTGCTCATAGTTGGTTTGGTTAAAATTGATTTGATACCACTCAAATTAGTATTGGAACCACTCTTAGTATCTATTTTCCTTTTTGCAACCACGCTAATAGTAGAAGCACCCTTTGGTGTTGTTGTGGAATTCAGTCTTGAACCCTCTAACACTTTCTTCCCACTCTTGGTGGAAGGTTCTTTTGATAACTCTGGACTATGTAGCTTATCCACAGAGTCTTCAGCCGAAGTGTGATTCTGTATTGTATTCTGGTGCATTTCCACTGAATCTCCAGCAAACTGCACTATCGGAACCTCCATTTTGGTTCGACACAGCCAACCTCCAGTAGACTAGAATTCAAAATGGGCTGGAGATCACCAATAATCAGCTCAGTTTTCAAGTCTAGAGAAATAAGAGATGCATCAAGTCAACATTTACTTATGCTACAAAAAAAACAGCACACAACACCAAACATTATAGAATTGACTACCTTATATAGTATTTAATTCCATTTTCATATTCTTTGCTAACTTAAGAACATATTAACCCCCAACACTTATATCATGCCGGACTAGACATAAACACAACCCCTGAAATCAGAAGCTGCCAAACAACATATGAGTGGCAGTTAAGGATCATGTGTGGCTAAGCTAAAAAATTTTAACTCCACACATGTTTGGATAACTTACACTTTATTTTTATTTTTTTTGTTCTTTTAACTAAAGAAGTTATCTTGTTTCAAAACTCATACAGTTGAAATAATAAATTACTTATTTCCAACTTGCCCAATAAAAAAAAAATTATAACCTTGCTCCAGAATTATCAATTTTCCAACCCCAGTTTACAACTTTCTACCCACAAAATCCAAATTCAGCAAACTTAAGCACAGGAAAAACAGGAAAAAAGAAAAAGAAACCGTAAACAGAACATATCAAGAACTTATCTTCTCTACCACAAAATCAAGCTCTTTAGTATTAAACCACATTACAAATTAATCCAAAAAAATCTACTTTATTTTGCGTATTCCTTACCTCGAAAATGTGTAGATCTGGTGGAGTAGAGTGAGCCCAGGAAGAAAGCAAGACAGTTGAACCACACTTCGACTTTTTTTTGCTTTAGGGTTTAAAGGAAGCAATCTATACAGACTATACAAATCAAATTAAATAATTAGTTGTTGGAGGAGGGGGAAGGGGAAGGGGGACGAGAGATCTCACCTAAAAATAGAGACAATACCTTTGCAAGTAAACACTTGACCTTCAGTAGCCATGGAGTTGATGTATTGGAAATTTGGAAGAGACAACGCCACTGGGAATGGAGAGGAGGACGACATGAGACTGTGAGTGAGAGATGATAGAAATTGGAAATGGAAGATAAGGGTTTTTTGTCTGGGCCCTTTTTGTCCGACTTTTGTTTTGCCTTTTATCAAATTTGAGTTTTTTTTTGTAAGCGGGTTGGATTGGGCGGGTTTGGGCGGTTTAATAAAATAAAATAAAAAGTAATAGCAACGTGCAATGCACGTTGCTAAAATATTAATGGCAACGTGCAATGTGTGTGCGTTACTAAAACTATTAATAACAACGTACAATGAACGTTACTAAAAGGTTAATGACAACGTTCATATGAACGTTGCTAAAACTATTAATGACAACGTAACAACGTGCAATAAACGTTGTTAAAAGGTTAATGACAACGTTCATATGAACGTTGCTAAAACTATTAATGGCAATGTGCAATGAACGTCCGTTGCTAAAACTATTAATAACAACGTGCAATGAACGTTGCTAAAAGGTTAATGACAACGTTCATATGAATGTTGCTAAAACTATTAATAACAACGTGCAATGAACGTTGCTAAAAAGTTAATGGCAACGTTCATATGAACATTGCTAAAACATCTAATGGCAACGAGCAATGCACGTTGCAAAAACTAATCTATGGCAACGCGTATTGCACGTTGCAAAAGGATCTCGAACGTTGCAAAAATGGTATATTAGCAACATTCATTAAAAAAAGTTGCCAAAACTCAATTTTGTCAATCAATAGCAACATACACTTGCTGAATGTTGCCATAGATCCATTTTAGCAACATGCAATTGACGAATGGTGCCTTTTGCATGTTGTAAAAGGCCTTTTTTCTTGTAGTGAGAATTGCACCTTTATATCTTGAAAGCAAGTGGAATGAAACAAAAAAACTGAACCTTACCAATCCAAAATTTTTTGAAAGGTACCGTGTAGGCACCATACCTGACATTCTTTTCTCTACAAAATGCCAACCATAACAAATAGCAATCAATCAGTAATGTAAAAAAATAGATGGAAGTTTCATTTGTTATTTACAAAGATCATAAGTTGGATGAATGACTGATATTATTGTTATTCATAAAAACAATAGGATTAAAAGAGCCTAATAAGGAACAAATATATTGTGCTTGTTATCCACTATAATGATTCATTATTTTTTCAATAATGGGAAAAGAAGTCGACAACCTAAATTCGGAAGAAATCCAAGTCTCTATGATTGAATTCGGAAATTATCAATGTGTATAAAATTGTCTATGGATATCAGAGGGAAAAAAAATGGTAAGATAGAAGTTAAATTTATTTACACGCGGCCTAGTTCAAAATGCAGATTTTATAAACAACTAAACGTGAAATTCTTCATCATAAAATTGAGTGTGAGCAACTTTCCATAACAAAAAGATAGCAACATTCGTTACAATCAAACCTATAACAACTCCATCAGTCGTAGGCCTTCGAAACTCTGATTTCCTAAACCATAAATAGATAAATAGAGTTGTTATGTGTGTGTATATATATATTCTTCAAGCTCGAAGGCATAAATATATAGAATATTCAAACAATTTCCATGGAGAAACCTCCCTAGCAAGTCATGAGCATTCTATTACAGGAGTGAAAATGACCTTAATAGTAAAAAATGAAGAAATAATCAATAAAGCACTATTGTTATGCACTTCTATTTGAATACATCAAAAAGGAGGAGAGTAAACCAAAAGACTAGAGACTTTTGTGTCAAATTGTATTGTACTCCACAAAGGCTTCTGAAAATTTAGCTGGGTGACCAAAGTTCTTCTCGGTTAATACCCTACATTAGTATTCAATAATTGATTATATGCTTCGTTGTTCATTTTATGATGGTGTATACTCCACACAACTTTTTTCTAATTATTTTTGCTGAATTTGTCAACAACCAAAATTTGAATTAAAGCCAAAAAAAAATTGGGAAATTGAAATCTTACCTGTGAACTATTTTTTGAAATATACACGAACGCACATACAAATACAATTACATGAATACTAATCAAATGCAATATATTGTCTTGTAAAAAAAAGCACAACTGACGTTTCAATTCACATGTAATAATTGTTCCTATTTCATAAAAAGTTAACCATGACATACACGGAAGAGTGCATGATTTCACTTTGTTTCAAGTAGCTGACTTTACTTAGGGGTGTCAACGAGTCGAGTCACGAGCTAAAACTCAGAGCTCGGGTTCGACTCGAGTAAAAATGGTTCGAGCTTTTGTTTGTCCGAGCTGAGCCTAGCCGAGTTTTTGTTCAACCAAAAATTTTAGGTTCGACCCAAGCTTTAGGCTCGGTTCTTTACGAGACAAGCTGGCTCAATTTTTTATTTTATTTTATTTTTAAACTTGGCTGAGACACAGGCCTGTCCGGGCCTGCTCAAGCTCGAGCATTTGCCCAAAGATGGGGCTCGGTCTGAGCCTTGGCTCGGTGATTCCGAGCCACAAGCCGGCTCGGCTCGAGCTTTTTCGGGTCTAGCCACGAGCGGCCCAAGCCGGCGAGCTATTTTGTCATCCCTAAGTTCACTTGACTCCTATCTTAAAATCATGAAATATACATAATCCACATTGTGATATAAAGAACTCTAGTGACAAGTATTCACACATAAGAATAAGCACACACAAACAAGTATGTATGTACATAAGAGAAAAAGAGAACGCCGGATTTCGAGGAAGTGTCTATTACTGTAACAGGGACACGATCAGGGTAAACATATTTGGGGAGCCCAATGGGCGGTAGCAACATAGGGATATTGTTTGAATAATTATTAGTAGCGGTCGTAACTACCAAGCTAGATTTCCCGATCTGCATCTCCGACGACAACGATCCTCACGTCGACAACATTCCCAGTAGCACCAAAAGCTAAAGTACCTCCTACCATATACTCACTATTATAAATGAAATTACATTAGAATTATACATGAATAATTGACATTGAATCGATAGCTTAAACCCTCAATTAAAATAAAATAACCAAATAATAATAAACCAATAATCATCACTATACCCAGGATTAATAGTTAAAAAAAATCGGAGAATGGTGAGAGAAAAGAAAATAGAAGAGAGAGGAGAAATTTAGGATTGTGTGAGGGAAGTCGAGTAAATAGACATGGTGGTTGCATAAGAAATAGAGAAGAGGCAATGGAAGAAAGAGAAAATGTCAGAGAGAAAAAATGGTTGTATGAATAGCAATAAAGTAGTGTACTGGGTCAGACGAGGCATTTAATAAGGGGAAAATTCATAAATGAAGTGTTTAGTTTACACCAATTCAAAAATCATGTTTATAATTTGAAAATTCAAAAATCAGGTTTTTTTTTTAAATTCTAATATAATATAATATAATAAATCCACCCCACATGCACCACCCCTACCGCTCCGGGGACTATTCCCGCGACCATTCCAACCATCACTCTTCTCCGGCGACCATTTCGACGACTATTCCGACGATCATTCCGATCACAAAGTTATAATTTAATTAGTCACATATTATTTTTCAGTCACAAATAATAATTTTTATATGTCGCATATTATTTTATGGTCACAGTTCAAAAATTTTATATGTCACATTTAATTCGTTGATCACAGATTTTAAAATTAGTTGGTCAAATATCAAAATTTATAGGTCACACGGTCACAGATTTCCAAATTAGTTGGTCACAGATTATATAATTTTTAAGTCATATGTCACAAAGTGGTTGGTCACGGATTATATTTTTAGTCACAAATTACCAAATTTTGATCACATACGCCGAATAGTGGATCACATACCACCACTGCTTGCGACCACCCTCACCTCGGCACCACCACAACAGCACCAACACCACACCACCACCAATGAAAAAGCCGCCACCCCAACAGCGCCACCACCAACAAAACTATCACCACCAGATCCAACAAAAAAAAATCCCAAACCCACAACCAGACACCATCCCTATCCCCTCAACAACATAGACATCACCGCCACCACACCACAACCACAAACCCGCCACTACCTCCACCC